GGGGTCGGTGACGTCCGGAGCAGCAGGTACAGCACAGGTCGGGTGGCTCGGTTGAGAGAAGAGCAAGGTGGCGAGCAGCGCTATCGAGGCTCGGGAAAACGAAAACCGGGTCACCGGCACAATTGAAATTGATGACAGTGTTGGCCGATATGGCGTGGGCCGTGTTGTCTGAGAGTTTGGCCCCCGTATCCGCCCCGTGCCCGTTTCCCTCCCATGCACAAACTGAACCAGCGAGTGAACCCCTTTTGAGTGCCCCCCCTCGGTAGATGGAAGTGGGGGATCGAGGAGATTGCAGTAGTGGACCAATACACATACCTCGGAGTAGAGATCGCAAACGACTGTTCGTGGAATGCACACATGTCCAAGGTAGCGGAAAAGGGCAAAGCACGAGCAGGGAAGCTGCACCCAATACTCGCAAACCGGCACCTCGATACACGCATCAAATTGGCGGTTTTGAAGAGCGTAATCGTACCGCCGCTAGAGTACGCCGGAGAAGTATGGGAAGGAAATAAGAAGGTAGTGAAAGAACTCGAGGCGGCGCAGATGAAAGCAGCGAAAATCATCCTAGGATGCTCCAAGCGCACAAGTAATGCAGCCGTAAGGGCAGAATTGGGGATCCAATCCCTACGGTCGGGAAGAGACGCAAGGAAGCTGACATGGCAGTATCTCATGTGCGGGATGGGAGAGGAGAGGTTGCCGAGAATAGTATGGGAGGCGAAGTGGGCAAACAAAAAGAGGGGTAGACAACCCACGGAATGGGTCAAGGTTGTAGAGGACGTATGGAAGGGGTTAGACATCGACGAAGATGAAACGCTGGAAACGGAGGGTCTATAGGGGTTCAAGGAGAAGGCATATGTTGCTTGTGCCGAGAGAGAAGAACGGAATCTAAGGAAAGAAACCAAGGATAAGGAGGGTCTAGAAGTGTACGGAATGTTGAAAGAAGGAATAGGGTTCAAGGATTACCTATATGGACCAATGGATGCAGGGACAAAGCTTAAGGTCAAATTCAGCAGGGTACTCCTCGGGAACGTTTTTTTAGCCGGGAACAGTTTGGGCGGTACCTCGACATCACGGGAACAATTTGGCGGTACGCCGGTTCTGTATTTTTTGACGGTACCGCCTTCGGCGGTACCCGGTTCTGCAATTTTTGACCGAACACCGCCGCCGGTTCGCAATATGCCGGTACCGCCTTCGGGGGTACCCGGTTATGCAATCTTGACGGGAACGCCGCCGCCGGTTCGCAATATGCGGGTTCCGCCTTCGGCGGTTCCTGGTACACCCCAAAATGGCGGTAAACCGCAGGCGGTAGTACGATTCGGCGGTTCCCTAAGCTCAGGCATTTTTTCTTTGGCGTCCGGACAAACGGCAAACCTCTCTCCCGTCAAAAAATGAAAATAAATGCGAAGCACTGAATGAAACTGACTTTACGATTTTACACATACCTGAACACCGATTACAAACTACTAAATGCTTACTATACTATAAAATATAAAATATGAATACATATGTGAACTGATCTGTTCACAATCGACTGGCCTCGTGCAAACGAAACTCAAAAGCAACAAAAAAAGTCGACATGTAGCCACCTAGTTTTGAAACATCAGAACGAAGTCGTCGGTGGGGTTTGAACCTCAGTTCTTCTCAGTGGACGTGTTTTATTTGTTATGTTTAGACTAGTGTACCCACCTCCGCGGTACCACTTGAGCGGTACTAGGATTTGCCGGTAGCTTTTCGCCGGTACCACGATATGCCGGTACTGTTTAGTTTATGCGAAGGTGTACCGATTCTGGTAAAAGTCAAGTCGACGGATACCCTGCGAATCGGGTCCTCCTTAACACTCTCCACCCACAGAATTTACCCTCAACTGGGAACCTCTTGTGGCCAGGACGGGTAATTCGATGGAAGTGTCACAAGGTTCTTTATAGGATCGATTCCAAGAGGTGTTCTCAGGACTGACACACATTGTGTCCATGGGAAAATGTCCAAGTCAGGAGAAAACACGTGCACCCAAGGAGATTCGAACCAGTATCCTGCCGCTGACGCCATATGCGAAGGTGTACCGATTCTTGTAAAAGTCAATCGACGGATACCCTGCGAATCGGGTCCTCCTTAACACTAGGCGGTACTGTAATATGCCGGTACTTTTTAGGCGGGAAACGGTTCTTGATTTTTTGCCGGTACCGCCTTCGGCGGTACCCGGTTCAGCGAATTATGACGGGAACGCCGGCGAGTACCGGATCCGCCTACCAACCCCGGGAAAAAAACCCGGGAAAAATCCCGAGGAGTACCCTGAAATTCAGGACCGGGGACATAGGCCTTCGAGAACGTCGACGAAGACATAGGACGGTAGACGACGAAGACGACAAGTTCAAATGTGATTGCGGCTTCGAATGCGAAGACCGCGTGTTCATGTAGTCGCGGAATGTCCGTAGTACGAAGAGGAGAGGGAAGTGTACATGACTGAGCTGGGAAAAATACAAGGGACGTACAGGGAGATGTTTGAGGCATGGAATAGAGAGGAGAGGATGGTAGCTGTACTGGGGAGTAGGAAGTGGTTTGAAAAGGCGGGAAGGGATATCGTTAGGATAGACAGACTAGGGAAGACGTTTTTGAGCCACCTTTGGCAAAGTAGGAAGGAACGATTGACCATCGGTGATCGGTCCTGTGGGAACAATGCTCCGTCCTCTCGAGGACGCGTGGTCAATGGTGTAACCGCTAAGGCATGCAAAACATAAGAGTACGCCCCCCTCCCCCCCACCCCTCCCCCCCCGAGGGAAGAGATGATAGATGGTAGGGGAGGTGGTATCGGACATGTCGTGGGGAGTTTGGGTGGACGTTTGTTGGGGCCTCATATGGATGCGAAAAAGATTGCCGGAAGTTTTGGGAGCTTTGAACACGTGGACGTGATGGTAAAAATTGCAGAGGTGGGGGTACCCATCGCAGTAGGACCGGGGGGAGACCTGAAGCATGAGTTAGCGTACGGGCATCATCCGAGCGCGCAAAAATGGCACGGAGCACGGAGCGATTTGGCAGAAGGTGATAGAGGACGTGGAAGCAGGTAGGGCGGTGTTGTATCCAAGGAGGACGATTTTGATGCAAAAATGGACGTGAAGAGCGCGATTCGCCAAATTCCGGTAGATCCAGCAGGGGCGCCAGCTTTCGGGTATGTGATAGGGGAATTCCTGGTAATAGACCTTCGGTTGCAGTTCGATGGCGGGGCAGTCCTGGGTGGTGGGCGCTGGTGGCGTCGGCGGTAGAAAATGTACACCGACGGACGACGAGAGACACAGTACGGGCAACGCCTTCTGGGGTGCGGGCAGCGGCACACGTAAAGATAGCTCCGCCAACGGGGAAAGGGATAGTACCGATCCCACCGCAGTGCAAGGTGTAGCCGGCGGTGGGGGGGGGGAAGAATGATCCGGCGTTTGCGGTTCTTCGTGGACGATGCGATTAGTGTGGAAGTGCAGTTGGAAGACAAGGGGGAGCGGTGTCTGGAGTTGACGAAGGGACTTGCGTCCACCCACCATGTATTATTAGGGGAGAGGGATGAGCAGGAGGAGCCAGTACTGCCCGCAAAGAAGATGACAGACTGGAGGACGGAACATGTGGTGTTAAGGGTGTTGGTGGATACCGAAGCAGGGACGATTTCATTGCCGGAACAGAAAGCGCAGGATTTGAGAGAGAGGGTAGCGGAATGGCCAGAGCACAGGAAGCAGGCTACCGTGCGCGAGGTATTGGTGTTGGCAGGTAAGCTGCACCACGCGGCCTTCCTTATGAGGCCCGGCCGTTACTTCGTACACAGGCTTCAGCAGCTTGCCGGGCTGCATCTAAATGGGGTGGAACGGGCCGGAGGGGGGGACGCGTGGGGCAGACATAGGAAGAAGGCGCAAGCACGCAAGGTAGTGAAGCTGACATGGGAGTTTAGGGCAGAGGTAAGGCTCTTAACCTTGATCTCCAAACGCTCCTATCATAACTCCGCCACAGACGAAGAAATTCCGCGTCCCTACATCTACGTGAAACTCCCATCACGCCCGAACCAAACCAAACCCTTTTGATAAACATCGTGCACTTGTACCCACGTACCCACATTCCTGCGTCAAGGCTACGCGCGCAATGTTTACCGAGCTCCAAACGTTCTGCACAAAGCTCGGGATACACATCCCATGGTTGGATCCTTTACCTCCAACAGACATGGCCAACATTCCAGGTCAACGGCAAATGTCTTCTCCCCGCAAATCTTGCGTTCCCGGACTCTCGCCAAAAACACTGCAACATACAAATCTCTGACAACGAAAATAGAATATTGCTGTGCCCCAATAACGTTCTTCGCGCTGTCCGTCACGGCAATAACCGACATATGCCCTCTCCGTCTCGTTGCGCAACTATTATAAGAGATAATCGCACTGCGGATCATGCATCATGGCATCATAGGTAGATCATACAGCCTTGTTTACGGGACGCGACAGAGTGGCCATCTTCTTGAGCAGCTTAGCGCGCGATGAGGTGTCCACCTATAGCCAAGGCAAGAGTTCCACGACATGCACAAGAGAAGCAACAAGAGAAGTACACAAAGGGGGGGGGCATCGTGAGGAGAAAGTACATGCAGCATAAATATACCATTCTCGGACTGGCTGGGCTGGGGGGGGGGGGGGGGGGGGGCGTTGCTTTTTTTGCCCGCTTTCCAGTTTGGAAACTTGGGGGGGGGGGG